AGATTGGGAGCCAAAGAATAAAGAAATATATGACAGATCACTTTCCTCTTTTGTGGTCCTCTCTGGATCTCTATATCTGTTCTGTGAAATTCAACATCAGAGGTCATTGCCAACATCATGAGATACATTTTAAATAATAATGATTTAAATTAGCTTAAAGGGGGCACCTGGGTGGCTCAGTTGTTAAGCGTCTGCCTTCGGCTCAGGTCATGATCCCAGGGTCCTGGGATCGAGCCCCGCATCGGGCTCCCTGCTCTGCGGGAAGCCTGCTTCTCTCTCTCCCACTCCTCCTGCTTGTGTTAACCTCTCTCACTGTGTCTCTGTCAAATAAATAAATAAAATCTTTAAAAATAAATAAATAAATTAGCTTAAAGAAAGAATTTCATAGAGAATACTCAGTATGACTGCAAACATAAATTTCCCAGTGTAAGAAAGCAATGGGTGTATTTTGAAGATACCTTTGATTGTTTTTTAAAATAGCCATCTAGGGTGCCTGGGTGGCTCAGTTGGTTAAGCGACTGCCTTCGGCTCAGGTCATGATCCCGGAGGTCCGGGATCGAGTCCCACATCGGGCTCCCTGCTTGGCGGGGAGTCTGCTTCTCCCTCTAACCCTACCCCCTCTTGCGCTCTCTCTCTCACTCTCAAATAAATAAATAAAATCTTTAAAAAAAAAAATAGCCATCTATTCTAAAAAAAAAAAAAAAGCCATCTGTTTGCAATAAAATAGTTACCAAAAATCTGCATTATTTTATTTAAAGTTTTTACATTAAAATTTATTGTATATCTCCTTTATAAGCATATGGTCTGGGGAAGAAAAAGAATATATTTTCTCTTTTGTGTTAGCTTCCTTGACAGTAGGCAAGAAATATACTTTCTATTTTGTCCTGATTGCTAGGAATCTTAGAACTAACTGTTGGGCTTTCGTTTTTTATTATCTTTGTTTGTGTGTGTTTATATGGGTGCATATATTTTTATTCTAACGTACTACAAATAATTTTTAGCACTTATCTTGGTACAAACAAACATACAAATAAAGATGTGAGAAATATTTTGGTTTTATAACAGATGCTCATTTTTAAAACATTCTTTGTTATTATGTTTTATTAAAAATGTCTTAAGACAGCTCCTTTTTTCCTCTCTTGGCAACTGATATGATTAAGTCAAAGTTATATTAATTTCTTTTTATATTATTTTTTCTTCTTTCTCCTCTTAAGAAACTTTCTCTTCTTCAGAAACTATTTTTTTTAAAAAATGGTATGTGCTATGGTGAGTGCTGTGAATTGTGTAAGACTGTTGAATCACAGACCTGTACCTCTGAAATGAATAATACATTATATGTTAAAAAAAAAAAAAGTAGGAACGGAAAAATGAAGGGGGTGAATCGGAGGGTGAGATGAACCATGAGAGACTATGGACTCTGAGAAACAAACTGAGGGTTCTAGAGGGGAGGGTGGTGGGGGAATGGGTTAGCCTGGTGATGGGTATTAAAGAGGGCATGTTCTGCATGGAGCACTGGGTGTTATACGCAAACAATGAATCATGGAACACTATATCAAAAACTAATGATGTAATGTAAGGTGATTAACATAACATAATAAAAAAATGGAGATATTTTACTATTTCAGCCTAAGGGATATTTTAGTGCCATCACTACTACTGACAATGAACAAAGTTTGCATGCCTTGCTGAGGCACCATAGTTGCAATTAATCGTAAGGTGAATGTATATGGTGGTTTCAGTTTAATTCTTAATGGGCCATACTGTACATAATATAATTACCACAGAGAATTGATGAGTAGCATTTAATTAGCAGAAGACAGCCTAATCTTAAAGACTACAATATCTAATTTTTCAAAGACATAATAATTCTTAAGAAAAACACAAAGCATAGGAGAAATATAAAGCAGTATACTTACTTAGACTATTTAAGCACAGAACACAAGGGTAAATGGAAGGGAGGCTATTGACCTTGGAAGTATTCCTGGATAGTAGTAGTTAAGAGCAAATTAAGGGTCTGACTGCCTGGTCTCACCTCCTATCTTCTCTATCTTAGCTTTGCTTCCCACATAGCAGAACCTGAAGCACTGTTGAATCACAGACCTGTACCTCTGAAACAAATAATACATTATATGTTAAAAAAAAAAAAAGAAGAAGAAGAAGAAGATAGCAGGAAGGGAAGAATGAAGGGAGGAAATCAGAGGGGGAGACAAACCATGAGAGACTATGGACTCTGAGAAACAAACTGAGGGTTCTAGAGGGGAGGTGGTGGGGGAATGGTTTAGACTGGTGATGGGTATTAAAGAGGGCATGTACTGAATGGAGCACTGGGTGTTTTTTTTTTTTTTTTTTTTAAGATTTTATTTATTTATTTGACAGAGAGAGACACGGGGGGCGGGGGGAACACAAGCAGGGGGAGTGGAGAGGAAGAAGCATGCTTCCCGCTGAGCAGAGAGCCTGATGCTGGGCTAGATCCCAGGACTGTGGGATCATGACCTGAACCGAAGGCAGACACTTAACGACTGAGCCACCTAGGCGCCCCAGCACTGGGTATTATACACAAACAATGAATCATGGAACACTACATGAAAACTAATGATATAATGTATGGTGATTAACATAACATAAAAAAAAAAAGAACCCGAAGCAATGTTTTCAGCGTCACCCACTACTTTACTTAAAAACAGAAGTGAGGGAAAAGAAAAATAAAAGAGGGAAAGCAAATATAAGAATGTGTTACTAACCTGGCCATCACTTAGTGTCAAGATAACTCAAACTCATGAGATTATCGTCCAAAAGATAAACTTTGCTCAGGATATTTATTCTGAGGTTTGGAGTAGAATTAGCCTCTGGATCCCATCTTTTAATGATCAAATTTCACTAGATTGTGATTTCATTTGCATTTCTGGGTTGGATATATGGTGGCCTTGAATATACTCACATCTCATTCTTCAGGGAACAGGAAAGTGCCAAAGTAGGAGATAAATGGTTTTCAGAATATCCATGGGATAAAACACAATTGGATTATACCTGCTGAAGGTGGTATAATCCCACACGCAGTGGGTTATCAGAATAGTGGCTTAGTCTGGAGCAAAGAGTCAAGTTTGCCAGAGATAGTGAGGTTGAGATAATCTCCAGTAGCACATGAGAAGTGTCTGTCTGACCAGTCCTCAGATCTACTGATGCATTCCTTAATATTCAGCTACTGAATATAACATGGTACCTCCATATTTGTAGGATGTCCTCACTTCTCTCTTAGGGGTGAAGTACATTTCCAATCAGTCACGAAATTTCATTTAGGGACATTATCTCCTTTGAACCAGTTCATCTGTGAAGCAGTCCTCATTTTATTTTTATTCTATATGGATTGTTGACAGGAAATACTCCCAGAAGGCCATAGGTATAACCTTGAAAGAGAATGTCAATGCAATTGAGGTTAATGATAAGGGAATTCTGACCACGTGTTCATCTGATTTTCTCATGCTTTCTAGATCTGCTCAGATCAAAACCCATATACCGTTTGTATTCTACGATGGGTTACTGCTTTACATTCCCAAACTTATGACTCAGCAGGTCTAATAATACCCAAGTTAGGATGAGGAAGTGTGGTTACACAGACATCTGGCATCCCATGGTCAGGATCTTTCCATACTAGGACCTAGTAGAATACTAGAAGGGTTTTTTTTTTTTCAATGAAAATTAATTTGTTGGCTGTAGAAAGCTTGACTTTGCTCTCCAGTCTATGATTCTACACATCAATTTTTCTTACGGGGGCTTGCCAGAGATTGAATATAGCATTTTAAATATACCATAGATAGCTCTAGCACTATCAGATCTTCTGAGTCACATACTTTGAATGACAGAGCAGCTTGCACCATAGTTTGAATTTGCAGAATACTTTCTTGCTGTTAAGTTCTGCTAAAAAGTGTCATCTTATGAGTCATTCAGTAAATGGTTCATAACAGTATTTTAAAGTATGTTATATGCTGCCTCAAAAAATCCAAAGAGGCCCACCAACTACTGTAAGTAAGAAATGTGAGGTGCACTGAATTTTTATTCATATTAACAAAAATGTTCTAATATGCTCTAGTTGACTTAAGCCCCTAAGGTATTCCCTGATATGACAGGATCCTGCCTCTTCAACAGGATTTTTCCTCACTCTCTGGAATTCGGCTATCTTCCTAGGGCTTACAGAACACTTGTTATTTCCTGATTACAGGGTTTAATTAGAGTGTTACATAATTATAATAACCCAACATGATGTTTTGCAGAATAACAATAGGATCAGTGTTCCTGCAGAACATATCATGAGCATGAGAATTATTTAACATAGCCCTCTGACAACTGGTGAATGCTGTCCCTATTACACTATCCCTACTATGTGATGGCAAACTAGTTTTGGTCCTCCTTTCTGCTGGATCAAGGAAAATGTAAATGCCAAATAAATTCACATGTGTCAAGTGCCAGGGGAATGTGGTATTGCATCAATAAATATAACATATTAAGCATGCAGTTGCACTTGGGGCTATATCTTAGGTAATTAAGGTAGTCATTCCATAGCCATCTATCAGTCAGGATCAATTTTTAAGAAATATTATTTATTTATTTGAGAGAGAGAGACAGAGAGCACGAGAGAGTCAGGACAAGAGAGGGGGAAGGCCAGAGGAAGAGGAAGGCTCCGTGCTGAGCAGGGAACCTGATGTGGGGCTCCATCCTACGTTTCCGGGATCAAGACCTGAGCCAAACGCAGACTCTTAACTGACTGAGCCACCCAGGTGCCCCTGGGATCAATTTTTTTAATTGACTTTCTTCTCACAGCCTAGTAGATGAATTGAATGGGAATATCATAGGAACCACTACTCCTGTCTTCCTTAAGTATTTGACGGTGATGCTTATCATTATAATTCCTGCAATATGGTATTGCTTTTATATATTCTCCAGGACAGGAGACAACTTCTAATTGGCTTTTTGTGTGTATGTGTGTGGGGGGGGGGGGGGGGGTGGTTAATATGGAACACTTCATGAATTTGCATGTCATCCTTGCGCAGGGGCCATGCTGATCTCTGTATCATTCCAATTTTAGTGTATGTGCCGCAGCAACAAGCACAGTGTTGTTTGTTTCTTTGTTTGTTTACCAAAATGGTTCTTACTCCACAGATCATAGATCTATGTGAGGATTCTGTCAGGTGTTAAGTATATCAGAATTCAGTTACCCACCTAAGGACCTGGGAAATAACTGTAGATTAGTTGTATGGACATGTTAGATACATTGCATTGTGACACAGTCTTGGGCCAAAACTCTACCTATCATCAGGCATCCAAGGTCTCTGTTCCTGGTATTTCAGTTCCTCCATTATCAGTCTCAGTTCAGAATCTTTATTTATCAATCTTTAATTCCTGTTTCCAACTATACAGTTATACTAGTATTGGCCACAAGTCCTTTTTGGAAAAGATCAGGGAAGTATTTATCTAATTTATTTGCAGTAATATGGCAGAGTTCATTCTCAAAGGGACCTGGATTCCCCTTCAACCAATGGCTTTTTGGTCTGTGAACTGACTTAAGTTTGGAATTTTTGTGAGGAACCACAACTTTCCTTTTTGATGGCTGATGCCAGTTATCAGTTCAAAAGTTATCATCTTATTTATTTATTTATTTATTTATTTATTTATTTATTTATTATAGGTCAAGAAACACACTACTCCACTTATCTATCTTTTCTCTAGGACACGATGATTTATTGCTATTATCACAGACATGTATATCAAGACACCCTGACTTCCACTATAGCTATATTAGCTATTAGAGTAATTAAATCTTTCTTGCCTCTGAATATTAAGTGCTTCCACCTATACTTTTCTATCTCAGCATCCAATTATTCTTCCTTACCCTGGAGAGAGCATACTTTCATGGCATCATCTTCCACCGACATTCAATCTTATGGAGGACAGGAAACATTAAGTTGGTTTTTCCTTCATGCCCTAACAATGTTTCCATATTGCATTACCACAGTGAAGGAAATGGCCTCTTTGAATACTATGGGAAAATAGTTTGATGGTACATTCTCAAGTTGTACATCACAATCCATCTTAACATCTCTATTCCTTGAGAATTTCTTTCTCCCTTCATATTTTGGCAAGGAGGAACTGACATTTCCACCTCATTCACTGTAGGCTAAGATTGTATTCAGGCTTCAAGGAGTCACCTCAAAAGATTCTGAGGATTGACTCTACTTCATGTATTGACTCTCATTTTAGGACTGAGTGGCTCAAATTCAATAAATTCTCCCACATCATTGTGTTTGCTGTGGTGTGCTTCCCAGTTCTGTAATCAAGACTGAGGTATGATTTTCCCTGGCTCTTGCCAGTGCTGGTCAATGCTTCACAGCTGAGTCTGTTTCTGAGTCTTGCCTTTGGCCACAGAGAGCTGCCTCAACAAGTTGTTCTCCCACCAGTGGTCAGCACACATAAATGAACTGAACTGCTCTATGAAGCAATCCACAGCCCTTTCCCTTGATTCAACCTCAGACAAATTAGGTGCTCCAGATCTCTTCGTGGGATTGACTGAGACCCCTTCTTCAAATGTATCACAGCAGTTCAGTTTCTCCCTTTGCCCAATCCTGTTCTCCTCACCAGCAAACAAGTGATATTTCCAACAGCACTTTTCAGTAAAAGCTTGTATGCAAATCTCCATCTCAGAGTCTATTTCCCAGGGAAGTCAACCCATACCAAACTTAATATTTTACAACTATGTTCTGACACTTTTAGGATCTACTACCACAATTATACCACAGTTCCTATCCTGTACATGTCAATCAGTTCCTACAGTTCCAATCGGTGATTAAATAATTTTGTCCTGGAGGGAGTACTGATTCCCTTGCTTTGTAAGGGGACTGGAAATAAGTGTTGACTTGGCAGCTACTGAAGAGCACAAGAAATATTTTGGGAGGCATCTGCCTCCATGAGGTCTTCACATGTGTTCCAAGCTAGAAAAACTGCTGTCTTCTGTCAAGGGGGAAAAACTGTTTCTGCTTTTGTTCAGGGGAATATGGAGTTCAAAATTCTCAGTTCTGTCCAAAAACAACCCCCATCTCAATTCTCAAAAGCTTACTCTTTCCCAACTGCAATCCTAAACTAAATAGATGAGATCTCTCAAGGCAACATATTTGGTCTCCTTTGTATTTCTTCCACATTTAAAATTGAATCTTGGGTCTGATTTTCTGCAAAGTGCCCTGTACTCATAGATGTTAAGGCTCTTATAATTCTCATAAATGAAGCCATACAGGGCCTCTGGCTTTCACAGAGTGCCTCAAGTTGGCAATTGACTACTCTAAGCCTATAATTTTCTCCTTCAAAGATTCCAGTATCATTAACAAAAGCCAGCCCAGTTCGCAGTCCCTATAATTATCATTGTCCCATACCATATAAGCATATAGCCACTGCATATCCTAAGGTCTTATCTTCCACCTACACCTTATCCCAATTAACCACAAGGGAAAGCCTTAGTAATAGTGATGTCATGGTATGCCAGAGCTAATCATCAGCCCCTGTAACACTAGCAAAGGTATCCCTATTGCAATGAGACTGGTCAGTAATGCAGCTTTAATAAATTATCCTAAGGATCCACTTTCTAGGGCCATTGCTGATATCAACTGTCTTAGACTATTTCTTAGAAACAGAGCCTGAAGCAAAGACTTAGGTGTTAATGCTTTCTTCAGGAGTATGATCTTAGGGAGCAGGGGTGAGGGCAAAGGAAAGTGAGACAGGGAAAAAGGGAGAGCTGATTCAGGGGTGCAATCCCAAACTAACCACTGAATAGTATTCAGTGTGATTGATTACTTTATCTCATGGGAATATCTCCCAAGAAGGCTTATTAATGACTGCTCCTCAGGACAGGCTATGCATGGGAAAGGAATGGAGAAGAATTTATTCTCTTCTTGCTGCTATCTCCTGTTAGTCAAAGCTTCACCTTCAGGGTTATAATGTCTTCCTACTTCTAGGTTGCTTTGGTGTAGGCACCAGATGCTCCCATGGAATCTGATGCCTCAGCATTAACAGGAAGTCTGGGGAAAGGGCAAAAGTTGTACATAGGGTCTATGAGGAGAAGAACAATAATGCTGAATTTGAATTTGGTCAGAATCCGCACAGAGGGGATTTCTGTGGCTGTGCCTGAGGGTGCAAAATTACCCAAATGCCTTTGGAACAGGTAAAGCAAAGAAGATATAAAGGAATATTTAAATGTCATCTGATAAAACTACTTGCTAACTTTGTGACTTTTTAAAATATGTTTTTAAATTTTTTATTGTTATGTTAATCACCATACATTACATCATTAGTTTTTGATGTAGTGTTCCATGATTCATTGTTTGTGCATAACACCCAGTGCTCCATGCAGAACGTGCCCTCTTTAATACCCATCACCAGGCTAACCCATCCTCCCACCCCCTTCCCCTCTAGAACCCTCAGTTTGTTTTTCAGAGTCCATCATCTCTCATGGTTCGTCTCCCCCTCAGATTTCCCCCCTTTCATTTTTACTTTGTCCCTTTGTCTCCGTTGTTTCCTCTGTAACATGGAACTGATAATTGTACTATCTTAATTGGTTGCACTATGAATTATAAGATATCTTATTTGTAAATATTTGTTTACACTTCTTAGACCATTAATTAAGTATTAATTATTGTTGCTATTTCTGTGAAGGAAAATTTGGCAACCTAGATGAAAACTTGAACTATCTCTAATTATTTAATCATTTTTTAAAACACTGTGCATATAGAGTATCAGAAAAATATTTGGTAGAGGAACTTGGGGTATTTAAGTCATTAAGCAGTGAGGGAAATACTCATTAAATTCTGGGCCTGAATTGGTTTCTTATTTTTACTTAAAAATAGAGATAACCAGCTTGCAAGATAACCAATATAAAAGAAAAGAACATCTTTTTCTTTCTTTTACCATTTCCATAGAAATAGAAAAACCCAACCATACCTTTTTCTAGATTCAATTTGTACTAAAAATGATTGTAGACTAGTATGTTTGGAGACTCTTTCAAGGTTAAGACACCTACTCATATGCACATGATAGTAGAGATCAGATGGTTTTGCCTTCTTGATATGCAGTATGTGTTCCTTCTCCTATCAGCAACTTAATTTACTCTTGAGAAACATCTGTCCCATTACTGGGTTAAGATAGTTAGGAAAGCTAACTTGTCTAAGTCTCATTCTTGGATCCAGGGGTGAAATGTCACGCTGCTCTGGCCAATCCATATGTTCAATTTCTCATAGTGATTGACTATCACTTCTCGACCTTTTGGCTAAGACCAAGTATAGTCTCATAGTGATTGACTCAGGAAGGATTACATGACCTGAAGCAGTCCAGTGAAGACCAATCTCAGTATCTGTTGGAGACATGAGTATCAGGGTTATTGAGAATGTAAATGTGAGCTTGAAGCTCCTATGCACGTACTTCCTTTATGTTGGGAATTTTTGTCTGAATGACGCTAACAAAGTGAATGCAGAGTGAAATTATGGCAAAAAGGGAAAAATGAGCGGTGAATTTTTATGGAAATGTTTGAAGCCTAATTTGAAATATGCCTAAAACTTGCATTATCCTTAGACTATCCAGTTATCACCACTACTACTATTTTTTTTATTTTTAACTTTTTTTATTATTATGTTATGTTAATCACCATACATTACATCATTAGTTTTTGATATAGTGTTCCATGATTCATTGTTTGCATATAACACCCAGTGCTCCATGCAGAACATGCCCTCTTTAATACCCATCACCAGGCTAACCCATCCCCCCACCCCCTCCCCTCTAGAACCCTCAGTTTGTTTCTCAGAGTTCATAGTCTGTCATGGTTCCTCTCCCCCTCTGATTTCCTCCCTTCATTCTTCCCTTCCTGCTATCTTCTTCTTCTTCTTCTTTTTTTTTTTTAACATATAATGTATTATTTGTTTCAGAGGTACAGCTCTGTGATTCACCACTACTACTATTAATGCTACTCATACTACTTTGATTTAGTCTTCTGTTATCTACAATCAAATGTATATAGGTTCATTATTGTATATTTTGGTTCATTAGTTGCAGCAAATATAACTATTATTACAG